CCACCACTTTCATTCCTGACCATGCCAACAACCAAAGTACATCACCTATCAGACACTTTTTTTGGGTCACTTCCTCCAAGAAACTTCTAACTTCCATCTGAAGGGAGCAAATACATTGCTGTCTGCAGCCCCCAGGTTCAAAGGCTTGGCTGGGAGCTCCAGCAGCAGGGAAAGCATCCCAGGGCTGGACCAGCAGCCTTACTGCATTTCCCTCCCAATAACACACGCACTGAACGAGGATTTCCCAAAGCCAGGGGTGGAAAACAAAACTGAAAGCCTAAACACATGCAGATGCCATTCCGAGCCCGGGACGCTCCTGCCAACTTCTGCAACCGATACACGGTCAAAATATTTACTCAGGAATTCCTAATGAAGTGCCCCATTTGGTGGGGGTGTCCAGTTTCAGATGTCACAGTGTCACCACAAAATGCCTCGGTGATTCCTTCTAACAAAGAGCCCCTTGTGCGGGTTTTCTGTCAGGCAGTGGGGCAGGTTTTGGGTGCAGTGCCCGGGTTTGGGCTGCCCAGGTCCGCTGCCATTCACGGAACCCCTGCGGCTGAATCCCTGCATTCCCACCTGAAAACAAGCCCTGAATCCCTGCATTCCCACCTGAAAACAAGCCCTGAGTCCCTGCATTCCCACCTGAAAACAAGCCCTGAATCCCTGCATTCCTGGCTGAAAACAAGCCCTGAATCCCTGCATTCCCACCTGAAAACAAGCCCTGAATCCCTGCATTCCCCACTGAAAACAAGCCCTGAATCCCTGCATTCCCGGCTGAAAACAAGCCCTGAATCCCTGCATTCCCCACTGAAAACAAGCCCTGAATCCCTGCATTCCCACTTGAAAACAAGCCCTGAATCCCTGCATTCCCGGCTGAAAACAAGCACTGAACCCCGACATTCCCCACTGAAAACAAGCCCTGAATCCCGACATTCCCTGCTGAAAACAAGCCCTGAATCCCTGCATTCCCACCTGAAAACAAGCCCTGAATCCCAGTATTCCCGGCTGAAAACAAGCACTGAACCCCGACATTCCCTGCTGAAAACAAGCCCTGAATCCCTGCATTCCCACCTGAAAGCAAGCCCTGAATCCCTGCGTTTCCAGCTGAAAACAAGCCCTGAATCCCTGCGTTTCCAGCTGAAAATAAGCCCTGAATCCCTGCATTCCCGGCTGAAAACAAGCCCTGGCAGCAGCAGCTCCAGGTGGACACGGGCAGCAGAGCCATGAGCTTTCTGTAGGTGAAGTTGCAAGGACATAACACTTGAAATCATTGAAATGAGTCGTGCTCAAGTTCAGCGAATGCTTACATTTGCAAATATAAAATTGAGACTCAAGAAAGCAAACTATGAATGAAGAGTACATTTCTCTTCCAACCAGCAGTATTGAATTATATTTTACATTCTTAAAACTTACATGATTTTAGGCCTTAGTGTTTAATTCTGAAGTGTTTCAAAGACCTTTGCTTTTATGAGTTGCTTGAAATATATAATAATTTTCACTTCACTGTGTGAAAAGGGAAGCTGGACTTGTTGAGGTCCTGGAGGGAAGGTACAGCCATAACAGGAAATATATTTTGAGGGAGAGTTTTCTTTTTTAGTGACAGGATTTGTCTGTGTTTGCATAAGTAAACATGCATTATTTCAGAAAATAAGCTGGAACTTGTTTCCCACTGCCAAAAACTTCTGGTTGCTGTGACAGCCCTTGTTATTCATTCAAAGGATGAAAAACTTGATGTTTCAGGGTCCTGGTGCAGAAACCAGGCCTTCCAAAACCTCGTTCCGCAGGTTCAGTTTGATGGAAGTTTGAACTGCAGGGTCCTATCCAAGCCCAGATCTGTGTTTGGTTCTTTTTTTTTTAAATTTGGGTGTAACTCTGTTTATAACCATTGCTCAATTCCGGTGCTGGTGTTTCCCTTGGATTAATGATAAAGGGCTGGAGAAAGGTGCAGACTCTGCATGTGCCAGACACTCAGGGCAGTTCCTTGGGAGCTGTGACATTCCTGCAGCAGCTCAGCCGAGCTGGATAAGCCTCGTGGATGGTGTTGGATGGGATAACCCACGGGGGTGAGCCCAGAGCAGCCTGTGGGGCTGCCGTGCTGGGGGGTGGTCACAGTTCCTGGAAAGGGCCCCAGGAACCCTCACACTCAGGAGTTTGGGGTGATAAGAATCAAGGGATTTTGCACCGCAAAGGAAGATTAGATGGAAGAAGATGCCCAAATGTGGTGTGGGGGTGAAACATTCTCCATTTGGCAAAAAAAAATCCTGTCTCCTCCAACCTGCCGAGGGGCAGGGGCACAGCACAGCCCTCCGAGCCTGTGACAGAGGCACACACTGAGGGACGCCGCAAGAACGGGGCAGAGGAAGCTTGAAATGCTGCTGGGTGCATTTCTTTAATATAAATAAAGTTTTCCAAAACCTCAGTGTCATGATTCAGCTTTTTTTTTGGCACTGAAATGGTAGTAATAATTTAAAAGTAGGCTAAACAAGTCTGAGGGAATATGCTGGTAAGTTCAGGCCGGAGAGGGGGAAGTTCCTGGAAGTAATAATAGAAAAACTAAGACCCTCCACCCCCAATAATTGCAGTTTAATTGTTTTAATGCACTTTACAAACACATAATAATTACAATATCCTCACAATACCTTCTGGGGCAGATATGATCATGCTTATTTTCTGGATGAATAAACTGACCCACTGTATTGAAATACTTTGACCAAGGCCTGCTCCAAAAACAATGGGAGACCAAAGAATACACTCTTTAACCTAATTATGAGAGAGTAGTGATGTGTATGGAGGAAGCAACTAAACTGAAAATTATACGTGGGTTAGATGCTGTGGCCAACTTTTTCTTGCTTTCTTTTGTTTTGAAAGTCATAAGGTTTTGCTGCTCAACTAACTTGAGGTAATAGTGGAAACTGTGGAGGCTCACCAGTTTGAAAAAAATTATGTCAGGAAGTTCTCATTGTTTTTGTCAGTTTTTAGTGTTTTAAAAATATTTATATCACATATACAAACAATTTTTATATATAATTTTTGCCAGTAAATTGATGGCATAGCCTCAGTAGGTTGAGGACTGTCAGATAAAGACCATAAAGGTCATAAGCCATTGCACAGAGAATCTTATCTCTACATCTAACTCATAATATTTTTTTTAAGATTATTGTATCTCTTGGGAAGTCCTGATTTAAAGACATCATGATTTTTTTAAAGTGGAGAAACACTTTTTGCCAGAAACAAAACCTTAGCTCAAAACCTGCATGAATCTGGGGGACTCTCTGGTTCCAGTTGATGCTCCTATTGTTGCTCAGTACCCACAGGAACATGGGTTAAAGCTACAGGTCTGAGTGCTCCTGCTCCAAACACTGCAAGTGGTCAGAGCTGCAACTGCATTTTGTTCCCATTTTTGTTTAATAGGCAGCACCACAGAGATGCTCTGGGTTTGTGATAGCTTGGCTCCATATTTCTAACCCCCTGCAAGCCAGAAATAAAAAACCACAACTGGTGCATTTCTCATGGATTGTTAACTTTGGAAAAGATGCACAAATACCTGTTAAAGGCAGGGTGAGTCAGGATGGAATTTCCATTCCACAGTAATAGCAATATTTCATCTTGCTCAGGGAAGAGTTCTCCATTTCACCCTTTTTGCTCTGGCTTTGCTGTAGTTCACTGAAATGACAAAATGCAATGCTCTGATTTCATTGAAATACAGCATTGATGTAATTTTGCAGTTACCTTTGTGATGAAGTTGATAAATTCTGACGAAATTCTTTAATTTTGCTTAGTCAGCGTTTTCCAAAAGGAGCATTTCCAGTGGGAAGTTTTTAACACTAAGAAGAAAGGCTTAGGCTGGTGTTCAAAATGGAAAGGAAGACACTGGGGAGGTTGATCTGTGTCCTGTTACTGACCTATTTAGGTATGGTGACTGTTACTGTGGAACTCCACTCACCCCCAGGCTGCTGCAGCACGATCTGGCATTACAGAGGCATTTGGTGGGAAAAGGAAATGACCCAGATGATCCAGTACTGAGTTTAAGAGGGGACAGGGTTTGTGGAGGTACTTCCTTGCAAGTGCAGGAAGCAGTGACACTCAGCACCCTGGTTTGCCACCAAAGGCAGCAGGGCAGGGCCTTTTCCAGGTCCTTCTGTGCCATTGCTGACTTGTCCAGACCCAGTTCAATCATCTCCACGTGGGCCTGGCAGGTACCTGGGAGATGTGACCTGAGGTGCATCCGTGTTGTCTTATTTTTTTTCCCAAATATTACCATTTAAAATGTAGCCTGTAAAGATGTTGAAAAATGAGCCAGTAAAGATGTTGAAAAGTGAGCTGAAAAATGAAAAATAAACATGCTAAAGTGAAAACATATGGCAGGTGCAAGTTACATGCAAACCTTATAATGAATTCTGAAAATATACTTGAAGAATGAGATCTGCAAATGCTTCTAGTCTGGATGGCACATATTAATGATCACTCCTATGTGCACCACGATGTTTGCCAGATCTAGAAGCACAGTTATGCTGGTGAACTTCATTAATCATTCAATAGCCTGAGTGTAATAATGGGCAAGAGGGTTGGTAGTGTCAAGTATTCTCTAAATTGTGCTTAACAGTTTCAAATGAGGGATGGATGACCTGGCTGCAGCAACTGAAACACTGAGCCTGAATCTACATTCAAAGCAGACATGAGTTTCAGAGATTTGCGAATGATCAATTATCACTATTTTTTGTTTTTAAATGTCTTGCTTTCCACATCTCACGAGCTGATGGCTCTGGAAGCAAAAGTTCCATTTGTTCATTTTTTTCTGGCACAAATCTGATCAGGAATTACCTCAAAATTTCCAGCCTCTTTTACTAGACCAGAGACACTGGGACAAGCTGGCACAAAGAACCCACCCTCCAACGCTTCCCCTTTTGCCCAGCGCCTTGCCAGCCACGCGGCAGCACGTGGCAGATCCAACCAGCCTCCTCAACCTGGCTCTAACATGCCTTTCTGCTTTTTCTCCCCAGAGCTTTGTCGTCCGTGGTGGCTTTAGGAGCCAACATAATCTGCAACAAGATCCCCGGGCTGGCCCCCCGGCAGCGCGCGATCTGCCAGAGCCGCCCCGATGCCATCATCGTGATCGGGGAGGGGGCGCAGATGGGCATCAATGAGTGCCAGTACCAGTTCCGCTACGGCCGCTGGAACTGCTCTGCCCTGGGAGAGAAAACGGTCTTTGGACAAGAGCTCCGAGTAGGTAAGGGTGTCTCTCGTGTGGTGCCGCAGGGATGGGCTCCTGGGGGCTGGTTTGCTTTTCCCTTTCTTGCTGTGCCCCCGCAGAGGTTCATAACCCTCCGTGATCTGCCCAGAAAAGTAACTGGTAGGAGACAGGAAATCTCTAGGGATCTGCAGATGAAGTCACTCCTATCTGTGCAACTTCATACCCAGCACTGGCCCAGGTGCCTGCACAGCCATCCATCAAGGCCGTGAAAAAATATTTCCCAATGTTGTCTTGTTAGAGGTTGCCATGATAACTGTGGTGCACAATATGGCCAATCAAAAGGGAACTAAAATCAGCTCAGAAAAATCCCTCTGCAGACTTCCCAAAAGCTTAAGAAATGGGAAGGTCCCAAATAATTGATGGAAGTACTGTGCATAAGGCACTGGCCTTCCAATATGTGGCAGTGATACATTTTAGTGTTGTTGTCATACTGGAAAGAAAATACTGGGTGTGATTTGAGGCAGGAAACCTATTCAAAGAAAATAATACAGGACCTTGGTCTGACAAGCTGTTAGCTGGCAGAAGTTAAATCAATCACTTTCCATTTACCCTATGTCTGATATTATTTCAGAGGGGAGATCATGTATATTTTTTTCCAGCACTGAGATCATTATTTTCCTCATCACCCAGCTGGGTATCCTCAGCCTATTCCTGACCTTTTCCCTCTGCCCCAGGGGCTGCCCACTCCCCACCCCCCCATGTCTGCTGCTCTGTGTTGTGGTGTGTGGCTCTCACAGGGGCACTCGCTGTGATACTGTCCAGCTCCTCAGCAGGGTTGTAGCCTCTTCTTGTGTCCCATTTTGATTTGGGTGACAACCCTCGAATTTAATGGTTCAGGTGAGTCTTGTGCCTCCAGCACAGCTGAGTGTGGTCAGACACAAGATCTCATTGAAACTGCTTCAAAAAAAAGGCAAAACATTTCATCTGAGCAAAGAGGAATCGACTAACACGGTGCTTTGCTGTCAGAGATCAAGGCTTTGGGTTTTTCCCTGACACCCTTGTGAAATGAAGGCCAAAAGCTGAGGTACACCTCAGTCCGTGAGGGAATGGAATATTTTTTCAAAGAACATGCAAGTCTGAGAATCTGGCAGAGGTCTGGGTGTTTTAAGGGCACAGTGGCCCAGCTGTAAATTGTTGTGATGGAATAAATCCATTGGCATCAGGGGAATGGACTTACATTAGCAGGAAAACTGTCATATTCTGTGACCATTACTCCACACCAGATCACAGAAGTGGAGAGGGCTAAAACTAATGATGAAAAGAACTGGTAAAGCAAATCAGTGGCAAAAGTCCGAACTTTTTGAACTTCAGAAGAAGGCTTGGTAGAATTTACTTTTGATGCTGAAAAGCTGGTGGTGAGGAATTTGCTCATCAGTGTCTCTTCCTGCATGTGTCCTAAGATAATTTCTAATTCTGTTTAGATAATACTTTTTGCCTAACTTTTATTTCTGAAAGAGTATAAGTGGAAGGCTTTAAACATTCTCAAGACACCATGTACAGGAAATAACCTAATATTTGACTTCTACCTTCAACTTTGAAGGTGAACCAGAAAAAATTCTAGTCACTTGTCTTGACTACTAGAAGCACAGGTCTGGTCCTCCTTGGTTGGTATTACACTTGTTTGCCTTCAGCTGATGTCCAAAATCATGCTGCTGCCAGAAAACACAGAGCTGCCAAGCAGGGCCCTGTTGTACTTGTGCATGCTGTGTTTTCACCTGCCAGAGCCTGCAGGTGTGCTCTGACCTTGGGTAAGGCAGGGATCTTAACTTCTGTGAGAGCCCTGAGGGGGCACTCTGGAGGGTTGTACCAGAGCTGGTGCCATCACTGAGCTTCCATTTCTGCTCTCCCTCCTCTTGAAGCTGAAGAATTTGTGCCTCCTCAGCTCCACTCAGCTCGTGGGTGATAATCCTCTTCACCACAGTCCTTTTGTTCTCAGAAACCTTGGAGCGCAGTCCAAATGCCTGAAGAGGACTACAGATTGTGCTTTTGTTTTTACTCTGAATGTTTCCATGCAAAATAAGAGCTACAAGGAACAAAAACTATTTGTCATCAGGATGGGCCAGCGATCAGGTTGGTCAGGCTGTACCAAGTTTGAAAAAAAAGGGTTTTCTTGAGCCATTGTTCAAGCCATATTTACCAAAATGTTCACCAGATTCTTGACCTCTTCACCAAACCTGGGTGGCTTTTTTGCAGCTCTGAAAGGCCTGATGTGGAACCTAGTGGGTTCTTTTATGGCTTAACCCAAACACAGACAAAACTTGGCAGTTGCAGCTGAGTTCTGCTTTGACATTTGTTGGGTGTGAAACCACACAGACTCCACCGGATGGAGAAGGTTTACATGACCCCTTCCAGCCCAGCCAGATGACTTCCATGCAGCTCTATAAAGGATCTCATAATTCACATGTCTTTATTTTTTTATTAGCAGAGTAGCACCCAGAGATGATGAGGTCAGTATCTAGGAAAAGGGCAGGGTTTAGGAAGTGGTGTTATTAAACTAGCAAGGGGGAAAATGGTAAAAGAGGGACAAAGGTTTAAAACCCCAGCACTTAAGGGTGCAAAACACTTGTAAGCGTGAATAAACATGAATATTCACATGTCTAACAAAACACATCTGTGTCTGACACATGCAGAAACACTAAACCAGCCATTTGGTTCTGCCTGAACAGACTGAAGAAAGGATTAAGACTGAAAAAGACAAGCATATTTTTCACTTCATCCCAAAGGAAAGCTTCATCCCAGAACCACTCAGGGAGATGAACTTTGAGTTATTCAGGTCACAGGGTGGGGAGGGCAAGTAAGCCATGGTAACATGGTATTAATTGCTCTCTAGCTCTGTGGGAGAGAGAGGAGCTGCTCTTTAGCCACTAGGACAGGAGTCTCCCACCATCACAGACAAGTGCAGAATTATGGTTATTCTAATTTGTGTCTTGATGCAACACTTCTTCAAAATGGAAAGCAAACCCCCAGACTGACCCAACGTGAGGTTTCTCCAACACATGTGCCTCTGTTGCTACCACCACCTCTCAGGGGCCATTAACTCAGAGCGTCTTCCAGCCACAACTAAGCAGCAGCTGGAAGGCACAACGGAGGGACAGATGTCCCCCCTCCTGGGGATCCTACTGTGCCAGAGGGAGTCCTCAGTTTGTCAGCTCAGCTGGATGGGCAATGAGCTATTGGTTCAAAGAGGTGCTCCAGTGAATGAGGGCTGTACCACCAGTACATGGAATCTGTATTAAAAACACTTGAAATAGTCCAGAGGACAGAATAACAACTGTAGAAATAATGTTTGGCATGGGGCATTCATGTTGGTGTGAAAGATTTATAGCAGCTAGAGATAAAAAATGACAGAGAAAACTAAATTAGTAGGATGAACAAAGGCTGCAGCATGGGATGAATTAGTCAAGCATTGTATAGAGCTTATTTTGGTACATTTATAGCTGGGAACTTTTCCATAGTCATGCCATCCCCACAGCAAAGTCAGCCCTGCGCTCACTGCACTCATCCTGTCCCTGTACATGTGTGTGTCACCTTCCTGCACTCATCCCTAGTTCTCATGCCAGCTACTCACATCATCTTCTGCACTCTCCACTCATTCCTCCTCCTTTAAGCCTCTTCAGCAAATTACCTCCTTAAAGATTACCTGTTTAACAGATGGATTCAAACATTATCTGGTTGATGACATATCATCAGCGTTGAAAGATAATTGTCTTCTAACATTTTGAAGGCCAGACCCTGATCTGGATGGGTAAAGCCTCTGATCTCATCAGGTTATTGTGCAGAGGAGCTGCAGCACTGGGGACCAGTCTCTATTCCCCCAAAGGATGGGCAGAGCAATCTGTCACACACACCTCTGAAAGCTGGAAGCAAAGAACTCCATGCAAAGAGAGCAGGCAGGGCAGGCTCTGGAGCGTCGAGTCCGAATCAATAATGGAAATGAAACCTGCTGGTTGGTCTTTGGCAGTGGATTATTCTGGCTAATTATTTGTGCATTTACCATTTCCACTGCAATTCTCCAAATTGTAGGTCTTATAAACAGACAGTTGTTACCAGTGCTAAATCCAGGTGTTTTGAAAAATGTGTCTGTCAAGATATCAGAAGTGATCTGTAGCTGTCTCCTCTCTCAGACTCGTGATGTGGAAAATGGCCATGACTTAGCAGTATTTGGCCGTGTCATTGATGCCATGATTTGGCAAATCATTGAACTGGACACCTGACAGGGACACACCAAGAAACAGGCCAAAGCCAAGGGAGTTTGGAAGTTGGGCTTTCTTTTTTTTTTTTTTTTTCTATCTCTGACCTTTTGTGTGGGTTTTCTGCAGTTTTCTGGTGTGTTGAAAGGAAGCATCTGAAGTTACAGCCCTGCTTGCTGTGGGGGTAGGAAAGGAACCATTTTAAGAACCTTTCTGTCACCTCCCATTGGCTCAACTTTTGATCCACTCTCCTGGCAGAAAAGGGGAGGGATGAGAGAAAACACCTTCAGTTTTAGAGACTAACAAAATGTAAGCATGGATTTTATTAACTGAAGAGGACTTCACAAGTTATTTTGAGAAGCACAATCAGAATATAAAGTTGAATGTCACAGTTCCACACAAGCATGCACTCGAATGCACACACAAACACCTCCAGTTTCCAACAGAGCACTAGGAAAGGGAGGGGGACAACTTCTGAAGGCAAGATACTCATAAAAAACAGTGATTCTTTATTTGCAGTGGAAACAGGTAACACTGTAAGTCCACTCTGGATCCCAGCCTTTTAGCTGCAGGTCTGAAATGACATGGGAATTGGGCATGGGAGATGTGTAAGTGATGGCATCATGGACAAATGGTTGGCATCTTATCAGACATGCTGAGGGGGTGTCAGTCAGTAAATTATTCCTGGTTCAGGCCATATATAGGCTTAATTAAATTTGGATTCCACATATGAATCCAGTCATTTTTATTCTGGGTTGTGATGATGGTTTAGCCGAGATGCCAAAT